GTTTTTATCCTTTTGTATATAAGCCTGCAATCCATTGCAACTGTGATCAGTGGATTGTGTGTGCAGTGCACAGGCTCCTACAGACTCAATTTGCAGCCTTTATGTTACGGAGTTGCAGGAATGGACTACAAGATGTTTCATTGATTACTACAAGTCCTTCCACCGTGGTAGCAGACAGAAAACCAGTGGTCTTTCAACTACCTGCGTACTCTGCCTACGCTGCACTGAAGTCTCAGACAGAGTTAGGCTGGCCATACACTATACAATTTTCTGTCCAATATCTGCCCAATTTCCTTTACATTTACCTTCAACTATGTAGTGCAAGAGCCTGCCTAATTGGATACAATTGAAAGTGTTGTTAGGTTTGTCCTCCTATGGACTTTGGTAAATCTAAAGCAAAAATCTCAAGAAAACTGTATAATGTATAGCCAGCCTAAGACTGGCAATACATTATACAATTTTCTTTAGAAAATTGCTTTAGATTTACCAAAAATTCATATAATATGAGATCAAACCTGAACAACACTTTCAATTGTATCCAATTAGGCAGGCCCTTGCACTACATATTTGAAGGTAAATCTAAAGGAAATTGGGTAGAAATTGAACAGAAAATTGTATAGTGTATGGCCAGCCTAAGGGTCAGTCCTGCCCAGTTCACTACAGTGGACTTCAGAACACATGCCCCTGTGTTCTGGAGATGAGGCGGTTTCATTAGTCTTAATTAGAAGAGCAAAGGAGACAGTGCTGCTGCTCCATAAATACGCTAAACTTAGTGGGTGTTGGCACTCTAGGACAGGAAATTTGTTACTAGCAGGATCAACAGTTGAAAAAAGCCTAAAAAAAAAAAAAACCTAAGGACCCATGTAACCTGCAATAGATTATATTTTTGTTTGTGAGTTTAGACGCACTTTATTAAACAATATTTGAAAGCACTACATAAGCAAGTCGTGGTGGCAATAGCAATGCTTGCCATGCTTCTTTCTACTGTGCATATTTGCAGCTTTCAGTGAAGAACCTATTCTATATACATTCACAATGTCACTTAATTACAGATTCCGAAAAGCATATCATGGTGCATCAGTTAAAAAGTATCTAGCATGGCCTATTAAACACTTTGGCATCAATCAGTTACTGTGGCCAACAAACAAAACAGTATGAAATCAGGAGCAAACAGGTGTGTATCAGTAGAAATAAAAAAATTGGATAATATATGAAGACCATGGCTACAGTTAAACGTAAGCATAGACACCTGGGCATAGGAAGTGTGTAATTGGCAGGAGTACCTGCTGAAAATAAAAGGAAATAACCTGAAAAGGAAAACTTTGGCAGGCCTCTCATCTGAGAACTGATAAGAGGCAGTATATAAAATTTTGTCTTGGGTTTAGATATGCTTTAAGCATTAAGTGTAACACAGCACTATAAATTATACACTATAAAGATATGTTCTTTTCCCTTCAAGGAAAGGTTGTATCTAGGTATCATTTACAATTAGAAATATACAATCTTTAAAGACTGGGGTGAGATGGGAACATTTTTTTAAGTTTTATAATTTTTTCATGCTTTGATGGGATCAGTTTTAGATAGTTGAGGTACTCTATTCTATAGATGTTTTTTGTGCAGTTTATAGTTGTATCCATGTTTTTTTTATGGAAGGGAAAATTAAACAGTAAAAAAAAGAAACTTTTTATATCTTTTTTTTTTTTTTGTCAAGACTTTTCTTTTCTGTGAACAATTCAAGCTTCAAAAAACATCAAAAAGTAAACAAAACACAAATATGTTCTCTGGTCTTCACCTTATTCCCTTATCTTTGCATGTATTTTGTTGTTACACAGTGAAAAAATGCAAAATAAAATATGTAAAGTAACAGTATGGTTTCAATTGCTAAAATACTTTTTCACCGACTTTTCATTTTCTTTTTGAAAATCAGCATCAAATCTATTAGGGCTGTGACAGTGTCATGGCTTCCAGGTGACTGATCCATGGTAATGTATGAAGAAAGCAGAGGAAGGGTTACAAGATGTTTAGCTAACAACTATGCCTTGAGTGTTGCCTTCACAGGAATGGAGGGGAAATCTCCCCAGCAAGGTCAGCAGGCACAGAGCAAGAAAACAAGCAGAACCTGGACCACAGTGAGTTAAACTGTATTCGTAAAGACAAATAGGTGTTGATTTACTATGGAAAGAGAGATTGTTCACTTAGCAAAGTGCATGCTCAATTTGTGAAGTCACTGTTGTCAATCAGCCAATCATGTGCAATAACACAGGTTCACCTTATATACTTTCATTTACTAAATGCACAACCTCTGGGCCTTTAGTAAGTCATCCCCTGTGTATCACAGAAACCTAGTATAATGGGCATGACAAAAATTCTATTTCTCGCATAGGGAAGGCAAAACCAAACGCAGATGCCTTATTACTATGCATAATTAGCATAAAAAGAAATATCAATTGGCACACGTCATACAGAATAAACTTATGTTTATTTCTTATAAGGTGGAATTGCACAACACTGCTATACAATAAAATGTATATGACAAAAAAATCTTCATTCGAGTTTCCCTTCAAAAGACTCATAACGCCATGTCTACAAGGAGAAGGCAGAAAATTAACTTTTCAGTCACTTATTGCTACTAATTGTATACCTGCAACTTAGGACTCTCAGGAGTTCCAACTTTAACAAAGCAACCAAATCTTTAAAGCGGAGTTCCACTCAAAAGTGGAATCTCTGCTTATTTGCCTCCTCCCCCCTCCACTGCCATATTTGGCACCTTTTGGGGGGGAGCGGGTACCTGGTTTTGGCAGGTACCCGCTCCCACTTCTTGCTCAGTTTGCCGTAGCGAAGTGATCTGGAAGTTCAGCCTTTCCTTGCTCCGCAGTCTCCTGGAAACTTTCACAGGTCCCAGGAGACTGCCGGACCAATCAGGAGGCACAGTGTGATGAGAGCATGCACAGTGGGCACCAGGCTGTGAAGCCGCAAGCTGTCACAGCCTGGTGCCCACAGTGGAGATGCCAGCACCATGGAGGACAGAAGGGACTGCGCTGGTGAGTACATCGCTGGACCCCAGGACAGGTAAGTGTGTGTTTATTAAAAGTCAGCAGCTACAGTTTTTGTAGCTGATGACTTTTAATAAACACGAAAATGGCTGGAACTCCACTTTAATTACAAGCAAATCTTTATCTACAAAACATCTGTGCCAGTGGAGTTACAGAACTCATAGGGGTTGACTTACTAAAACTAGAAAGTACAAAATCTGGTGCAGCTGTGCATGGTAGCCAATCAGCTTCTAACTTCAGCTTGTTCAGTTAAGCTTTGAAGGAAAAACTGGAAACTGATGGGTTTCTATGCAGAGCTGCACCAGATTTTGCAATTTACAGTTTGAGCAAATCAACCATATAGTATTATATAACCAAAGCGATCTTTCCGCATTTCTCCTAACACTCTTTATCACAGGTATCACAGGTATATATCAGTAATACAGAAGCCCTGCTCCATATTTGTTTATTATGTAAACATTACTTTGGATAAAAAAATAATTCAATAGAAAAAAGCTATAATAGGCTGTTTATAATAAAACAGCATCCTGACTCAATAAAGTAGAGTAGATAGGACCAGTGGGATGCATTCTAAAATAGGCTCCAGACACTAGTTGGCTTCCCAACAGAAGTTAAAAAATGTGTAATGTTGCTTTTGTCTTATTTGTGTCATCATTTATTATTTTCTTATTGTGTCTTGCACCCATGATGCAAGGCACATTTGATTTAACCGTAACGTGTATTGTTTGTCAACAAGCAATATTCCTAATTTTAATGTGAGCTGTTCATGTTATTCCTAGATAAATAGCAATATTTTTCAACAGTGCCTGTTTTCCTTACAAAAAGGAACATTTTGTGCCATGAACCAATATTCATCCTCTTGCAAAAAAAATAAGTCATGAACAGACAAACTGTATACTATTCCAGCCACCAAAAGGATGCCTGTATGTCTTGAACTACAGTTTAAAAAACTATGCCAAAATATTAAAAGTTAAGTCCACCAATAAGTTTGGCTATGCCAGTCCCATCATGGAGTCTCATTTGTGTTCTCATTTTTATAATGTAACATAAAGTGAGTGAAACTCCAGTAGGAAACATCACATAGGTGAACAGTCCTGAAAACACATGTAATGAAATCTCCCCACATGAAAACCAGTGCCAGATTAAACCTGCAAAAACATATGCAAATATATATTTTAGAGGACATATCTTTCAATAGCTATGATGTTCGCTTTAGTCTCATGATTAAGAGCAACACCATGTGTAATTGTTAAAGTTGTGTGCATGGATGTAAGTTAAAAAAAAATATAAAACCGACACATTATGCAGTATATTTGCTGAAAGTCAGTTGTAGCAACCTTACATTCAGTATTTATTTATAATATGTGATTTATATATTATGGCAAAGAGCAATGTGCAAAGTGCAGAAAACCACAGCAATCAATCTTATTTTTATTGTTCTTTAATTAGCATTGCAATTAATTTTGTTTGCAACCATAGGATACTGAACACCCCTGCTCTTTTCATCATTTTTAAAGAAGCCGATTAATGTCCTAAACATACCTAAACCAAATAAAAAAATCATAGTTTATATAAACAGTGAATATTTCTAAGTCATTATAGGCTCAAAATTCAGTCACAGCTTTCATTACCCAATGACAGATAGTAGTGACAAGGAATAGTTCATTGCATTAATTGTCTGGTATGTTTGTGCTGTATCCAAAGTTTTAATACATAAAAAAGTAACCAAAATATACATTGTCATCTTAAAGTAAGATTTTTAGAAAAAAAAAATTTAGAAGTTGAACATAATGTGGTATTTCTACTCAACAAGGAAATTCTTGAGAAGACTATATTGCTCCTGTTGACCTGTAAGTCACCTAAAGGTTCATCAGCATGCTTTAAACTGTTGCAGTTGCACATTGTAATCCACAAACGTCTGCAAGGTATCCAGGTTAGTAAAATCCATCAGGCACTTGGAGACCTTCCTTGCATCTCTACATCTGTGAACTGTGGCATCTCTGAGCTTTCTGTAGTGGTGGTAATAGGAGAGATAACATGCTTGATACGCAACAGCATAGTAAATAACAGAACCAGGAGCACAGCAAGGAGACCTAAGAACAAACCAACATACATGTAAAGGTTAGAATATTTATCTGTGGTTGTGGCTGTTGCTTCAGTGGCCACTGTTGGAAACTGCTGTACATAGATAGTTCGGTTTCCACGGAACTTGAAGTAGGCTTCAGTCATCGCTTGAGACACTATTGTGTAGGTACAACTGAAGTTGCTTTCCAAATAAAGCAAAGCAAGGCAAAGAAAATGTATGGCCAAATCAGAAGAACTAGATCTGCTAGCCAACTAATTCCAGTTAGTCAAATTTAATTTTTCAATGCCAAACGCTTTTTGTTCTTGAAATGTACAACAACATAAGCCGTAACTATTAGTTTAATGTAATTAGTTCAAAACTGTCTAATTCAGAACAAGAACTGTTGTTCATCTGCATTATCATTGTGTTGGTAAAGTTGACTTTCTTAATTACCGATTTAAAAAAAAAAAAAAAAAACTTCAGTTACCGATGAAAACATCATGGAGTTGATTTGGTAAATGTAATATGGCCATTCGATCATTGAAGAGCTCATCCTAATGAGACTTTTTCCTTCATCAGCTGTTCCACTAGTGTTCTACCTCTGTAACGAGAAGAAAATATATTTAAATAAAAGATCAGGAGAGATTTGTTTTTGTGAATATTGCTTCGATCTTTTCCATATCTGGCTGAAAGAGTTTTTTTGGCTATAAATGCATGAAAGGAAGACTTTCACCTGATTACCTAATGTTGTGCCAGGAAAAAATTGTTGATTTGTATTTTAACTTCTCTTTGTATTTTTTTTTAATCCATTAAATGCTACTTGTTAAAAAACAAACCTACTGTATTTTTATGCCACATAATCAGCCATAAAATTAGGCTGGATGCTAGAAAACAACTGAGCAACTGAAAGATGTCCATAATTTTGGTTCTGTTGTAAGGTTTATTCCATTTGTATGTTGTGTTCTGGTAAAATATCCCTGAAAAGTCATAAAGCTTTATCCCCTAACTCTGGTTCTAGTGGGTGGTTTTACCAAACTTGATTAAGATACAAAAACTGTGATTGTGCCTTTGCTGAAACTTCATCAAACTTAAAATTAAATTTGACTGAAGCACTACTAGGAGAATGCTCCTAGCTGTGAGAACCTGGTACTGTGTGGCATGACATGTTTTTTTTTTTTTTTTACCAACAAAGCCATGTCAGACTAATTGCTGCATAAAATATCTTTAAGTTTTTTTTATTCTAAAACCTTTGATCGCTATTTCATCACTGACACTACTACCTGCACTTGAGGAATATCTAGAAAAAAATATTTTTCTAAAGAATATATAGTGGAATGGAGTTTATTTAGCCTCTACCACCATTTAACCACTTCCCAGCCACCCTATAGCAGTTTTACTGCTGCAGGGCGGCCGCTCTGTGCAAAATCATGTACAGTAAATATACGTGATTCTGCATTTCAAGGTAGGGGCGTGCATGTGTGCAAAGCAGAAAGGTAGAAAGCAGCACGTCCCCTAGTAAAACAGCACATAGTTAAGCACAGAACAGCACACAGTTAATCCTTTGATTGCCCCAGATGTTAACCCCTTCCTGCCCAGTGCCATTAGAACATTGTCATGGCTTTTTATTAGCACTGATCACTGTATTAGTGTCACTGGAGATGTCATTGGCAGTTAGTCAGTTCCCACCCAGTGTCAGTCAGTGTCAGAATGCCTGCCGCAGTCACGCAGTCCCACTATAAGTTCTTGATCGGCGCCATTATTAGTATAAAAAAAAAATTCTAGTATATATGCCGCAATTTGTAGATGCTATACCTTTCACGTAAACCAATTAATATACACTTATTGGGACATAGCAGAATACATTTTGGCCAAAATGTATAACGAAATCTTTTTATATTTATTTTTATGGGGTAGGTTTTATAGCAAAAAGTAAAAAATACAGTTTTTTTTGTTTAATTTTCTGGCTTTTTTCATTTTATAGCGCAAAAAAATAAAAAGCCCAGTGTTTATCAAATACCATCAAAATAAAGCTCTATTTGTGTGAAAAAAAGATATAAATTTTATTTATGTACCGTGTTGCATGATCAAGTGGTTAAAGCCAAATGTACCTTTTAAAACCACCAAAAAACACTGCAAATGTAGGCCCATATGTAGCTTCTGTTTTTGTATTGCTAGGAAAAGTCAAACTGCATAACAGCAAATTATTCAAATGTATTTTTTTAAATAGTGGTCCAGACTTAATTCCCTTCATTGTGAGTACACTAAAGATCAGGACATCTGTGCGAGAGAAGAGGTCTATCTTTAAATATTTGTATATTGCCATCATATCATTGTCATCTCTTCTCCAGGAAGAATAAGTTTAATGTTTGTCGTTGCTCCTCATAACTCCTCCAGCCCCCTTATTAGCTTTGTTGCCCCTCTCTGGATTCTCTCCAGTTCAAGAACATCCTTCCTGAGGATCATTGACCAAATTAAACTGTATATTCAAGCTGTGGCCAAATCACAGTTTTTAAATTGGTAGAATTATAGTTCTATATCTTGAGTAAATACTCTTTTAATGCATGCTAATAGTCTACTAGCCTTGCTTTATGGAGTTTGGCATTGCATGCTATTGCTGAGTCTGTAATATAGTAAGACCCTAAGATCCTTTTCCACCATCAGATCTTCCAGACATTCTCCCCTATGCTCCCAATTGTATTACTTTACATTTTTCAATATGAAACCTTATCTGCCTTAAAGCTACCCACCCTTCTATTTTAACTATTGTAAAGTTGCTGTATCCTGTTGTGAAGTTATAGCCTTGCTTAGCTTTGTATCATCAACAAACACTGAGATTGAACTATTTCTTCTAACCTCTATATTGTTTATGAACAAGTTAAACAGAATTGGTCCCAGGACCACCCTGGGGCACTCCGCTCACAGATCTTGACCATTCAGAAAATATGCCATTAATTGCCACCCTCTGGATGTACTCCTGCAAACAGTTTTCCACCCTGGTACATAGAATTTCATCAATGCCAAAAGACCTTCATTTGTAAATTAATCTTTCATAAGGTACTGTATCAAATGCCTTGGTGAAATCTAGACATACTTCCTCCGTAGGCCTTCCTCTATCCAAATTACAGCTCTTCCTCATGAAATATTAAAAGGTTGGTCTGTCAAGAATGGTTTTTCATAAATCCATGTCGGTTACTACTAATGATATTATTTACATCAGCAAAAGTTTGGATATGATCCCTTATCATGCCTTTCAGTAGTTTACATTATATTGATATTAGGCAGACCGATCTGTGGTTCTTAGGTATATATTTTGGCCCTTTTTAATTTTGTTACCATGTTTCTTTTTTGTTATAGTTTATGGCAAATGTAATTATTATGTGATCACTGTTACTTAGGTTATCCCTTACTTCCATATCTGCAATCAGCTAGTCCAGGTCAGCAGAGCATTATCTCTATTTGGGCCATTCACCATTTCACTCATGAAATTGTCCTGCATTACATCCAACAAATGATGACCCTTTGTTGAGTGAGCTCCATCTGCCCAATCAGTGTCAGGATAGTTGAAGTACCCCATGATTATAACATTGCCCTGTCTTCCAGCCATCTCTGTGAAAGTAGCACACCACTCCCCCTCCTCTACCTACCCTGTTCCTCCTATACAGGAAGTACCCCTGAAAGGTCGCACATTATTTATTATTATTACATGTACTTGTACAGCACCGTCAATTTACGCAGCGCTTTACATATATATTGTACATTCACATCAGTCCCTAACCCTTAAGAGGTGTACAATCTAAAGTCCCTACCTTACATTCATACATACACATATGAGAGCCAATTTAGACAGGATCCCATTAACCTACCAGCATGTCTTTGGAGTGTGGAAGGAAACCGGTGTACCCAAAGGAAACCCACACAGGCACAGGGAGAACATGCAAACTCCATGCAGGTGGTGCTGTGGTTGGGATTCAAACCAACGACCCTAGTACTGCCAGGCAGAAGTGCTAACCATTTAGCCACTGTGCTGCACATTATGTGTCTTTTCACACATTTACACATTACATCTTAAAACAACAGACCAATTAAATTCTTCCTATGTATGGCCAGCTTTATATCCCATAGTGATGACAGAATGTAATACTGTAAAATGAAGCTGTGTTGGAGATAAAATATAAAACAGTGCAACAATGCGCAGCAAATAGAAGTTTGAGCTGTACATTGTCTTTGAAAAGACATACACCAAAGACAGGAATTAAATGGGTCTGTATAACAGGTCTTATTACTGCAGTAGTGTTTTTTACATTACTCAACAAACATAATGAAATCATCTGAAACTGGAGAACATAAAGAGAAGGTCAACTAAATCAACTCATAGACAAGTAGAAACTGCTCAGTTGAAGTGAAGAGAAAAGTGGTGTAGAGGAGGATGTCATTACTATGTATGAAAACATTCGTGGCGCCACAGTGAAAAGCATTTTTGGCGTCTTGATCAGTATTGAGGCTCTTTTATTATACAAGGTCACCTCTTGTGGTTTGGTGAAAGAGGCATTTTCCATCTTTCCAGGAAGGGTGGCAAAACTATCTAAGGTCTCATTGACATGACTGCAAAGGGCCATACACCATCAAAAGGGAGTGTATTTCTGTGTCCCTATTTCTGTGAATCACAGGTGTTTGCTTATAGCCATGGCCAGCAGTCTGTACGAATCAATAATAGCCTAACAGATGTTGTAGCTGTATGCCTGTAATATATATCCAAGTGTTTACATGTATACAATGATGGATGAGCGGCTATGGTGCCAAACTCTGTCTAGGGCTGCTCACCTGTTCCTGTACACATGTAAATGCTTGGATGTGCAGTTATATGTATAAAGCCATGACATCTGTCAGCTCATCATTGATTTGTACAGGCTGCTGGCTGCAGCAGGACGTAAACACCTGTAACTCCAGGGTGCAGAAATATGCTCCTTCTTGACATTGTATGGCCCTCTGTGGCCATGTGAATTAGGCCTAAGAGTTTTTATTTGCAGATATATTAAACTGAGGTTTTGTTTCTTAAATTTGAACTGTAGTCATCTAGAAAATGGCATGTAATGCAGTTGAATTATATTTTATTCTGTAAAATATCATCCCCATCTTGTTTGACTTTTAATTGCCTCAGATTCTA